AGAAGATAATTTCTTTGTCTCTTACAGATGCAAAAACGAACCGACCCAAAGACCAACTGTACTTGCGACGACTATATCTAACTGTAAGTCTCGGGCCTGTTTGATGAACTTTATTTACAATTTGTAAACAAATTTTATAAATTACAATTAGTTTTTATCAGAATTCATTTAATAATAATGATACGTAATTAAAGATAACATTTACGGTAACCAACGAAATAACTCCAATAGTTAAATTACTTAAATTAAAAAAAAAAAAAAAACAATATGTTAAAGCTGCTGTTTTAAAATGTTTTTATATTTTAAAAGTTTATAAATAACGTAATTTGTAAGAAAATTAAATTTTACACATAAATTTAACACCAGATGGCAGCATTACATTTTTAGATAGAGTTGGTGTCAACAATATCCAAAATGTAAAGTTTACGCCGATTGGTTCGGTTGAATTTTAAAATTTAAATCGCGTAGACATAAGTGGTCATTAAGATGCGGAATGAATCGTTTTAAATTTCTAAGTATAAAAATGAATCATTTATATTAAATATGATTATATTTTAGGCAATTTATCGTTAAATCTCGATATATTTGATTAAAAACTACCTAGAAATGACGGAAGCTAAGACGAGAGAAATAATTATAGACAATAAAAATTCAATTATTCAAAGACAGATTTGGAATTAGTAAATCATTATATTTTGCTCAATCGTAGAATTATCGATAATATGAGAATTTACAAGGCAAAGTTAATATTATTTCGAAATTAATTAACGGTAATCGATGGAGGGGAAATTTTTCCGATCCTTGTCCAAAATGAAGCTCTTTTGTAACTTTTCTCTCTCATTATTAAAAGGCCTCGAGTATTGTTTTCGTGCGCACCCGAGGGAATTAACGTCATTAACCCAGTTAGGGCTTAACAAAACTCTTTCCAAACGTTCGACTGGCTTCAAAGCTACTTTATTATTATTATTATTGCCAACGCTTTCGCTAACATTTTTCTTAAAAGCATCTCATTAAAACGTTTTATTTCGGTTCTGAATTTAGTTTATGAGTCAACTGCAAAATTAAAATATAGATACACGCGTATGTTATTTAAATATATTCAAAAATTAAACGTGGCGATGATATTTTAATGAAAATAATTTGGATGAAGCGTTCTTTCTTAATTCACGAGCTAAAATAATACATTATATATTAAGGGGCTAATAATAATGTTGCTTGAGTTTCAGTTTAATTTTTACATCATAAGAAAGATTACTACTAAAACGTACACAATTCTATTGTTTAACTTGTATGTATAGGCCTATGGATATGCCTAAATTCTAAAATTTGTCTTCGGATCTGCGTATTTAAACATCAGAAGAAAACTCAAAAACTTATTTTTAAAATAAAAATCACAAAATTATGCGGGGGCGTGTAACAGTTAAAATTTCTGGTAATAAAAATTAATTAACAACTTGAAAACAAAGTAGTGTTAGTCTTTGCAGATTTAATTAAAATTATTGAATTTTTTATTCATTGCTTTCGATTTAACTAACAAAAGAATTGAAAAGGTGACCGTGACTGATCTGTCATCTACCGACCCAAAGTACTTTTTATTCTTCAAACTTCTATCACTCACCTTCAAGGACGAAGGATTAATTCCTAAACTAAATTGTTTACGGTTGTAAGCCTGTTAATAATCGCACCTGTTTGAAATTACGTGTACGAATGTTTTAAAAGTTATAAAAGAATGCACTCTTTCGAAATATAGACGAAGGAATGCAGAAAACTGGAAACAAAGAGAATAGAAAAATAACTTTTGTATGAAACAAGGATTGTGAAAACATTTTTTTAAATGTACGAAACGTTCCCGTTTATGGAAGTAGCCTATTTTTTCACTTTTATTAATTAGGAAATTAATGAATAGGATACGTAAAACGGATGTTTCATTGTTCGTATACGCCATCGTTGGAGGAATTAAATTCCCCTTGATAAATTTCTTTAAAAAAACGAGTGAAATTCAAGTCGATTAAAATATATTAATTTAAATATATTCAGCTTGATATTCGTTACATGGGATGATGCTGAAAAATTTATTATAGAGAGCATTAGGTTAACGTATTCACTTTATTTGTATCTTCGACAAGCTGCTAACTATATTAAAACAATAAGATTTCTTAATATATCCGTTGATTAGTTACTAGAATTAATTTATATATTGATACGCTTATCGTTAAGTTAATACGGTGAGACGAGGACGAATACAATTTATCTTATTAACATGTTTATAAAATCATACGTAGAAGACGTATTAAGACACTTATCAACGTAAGAACTTTAATACGACCTTTAGAGAGGTATTCGCTTGATTTTTTGTATACTGGTAGCTTACCAACTCTTCAGATACAATATACCTCGTACACAATACTGATATTAAAGATAAATCAGAGTGCAGTTATCAATGATTACGTTCCCACGCTTATTAATTAATTAATTGACACATTTAAATATACTTGTTACTATTTTTCCTCGTTATAAAAGAGTATTGATCGTTCTCGACACATTAATTACCGATTTAATTACTTTTGAAATGATCGAAGAATTCTTTTGGTATTTTCAAAAATGAAAACATTTTGTTTAATTATTACTAATTGTCATCAATCAGTAGACACAAATTATAGTCCTAAACTATTACAAAATTATGTAATAATTATGCGTTTGGCGTTAAATGCACGCAAGGCAACTCTTAAAACGTTTAAGAAATTTTGAATCGGGTTTCAAAACTTGTTAACTACGTGACGATGTGGAATGAACGGTTCATACAATCTACAAAATGAAGGGTTTCGAAACATTCCCGAAGCAGTGTGTTTGTCATGTGTTAAATTACTAAACTTCTATTCATTTTTCATAGTTTAAAATGAACATGACGTGTGAAAGGCGTTCAAAATTCTGGTCTCAACCCGTTCTATAACGTTCGGAAAATGTGTCACATTTCCATATTATTTAAACTCGTTTGACAATTTTTCGAACGAAATGTAAAAGTTTTCTGAGACTTGACATCAGTTTTAGCCTTCGAGTTGTTCATTTGGACATATTTACAAGGTAAATTTAAACTGTTTCAATGCATATTTTCAAGGAAAATCGACATATCCTACGCGGTTCACAAGGCGAACAAAGAGAGAAAACACCTTGAACTGCTACATAAAGGTAAAGGTCATCCATAGCATAGAATGCCAGATATTTATTTCTCGTTACTTGAACTCTGGCTAATTTATATGTGATATATAGTGCAAGGTGTCTATTAGTATGGCGAAACAGTTCTTTTTTTCTGTAATTGCCGTGTAAGGATGATTATATACGTATCTAGAAAGATAACATATTTAAAGCTTTGATAAATGTGGGAGTGAAGTTTACATATGCCTAATTTGGCTACCTATTTAACATGTTCTTTGAAAATTTTAGTTTGCAGGACATAATATTTCTTATTAAAAATGCTAAATTACAAATTACCAAGATTAACTTACTAAAAACATTCATATTTACTAATTTATTTACAAACGAGTGAGTGTTTTGATAGCATTTTCATTATTATGCGGCCGAGTACGTGCAAAACTTTCTACTTGCCCCATTTACTAGGCAAAATAATAACGAAAATCGCATCACTTACAATATTTTTTTTTAAAGATGTTTAATTAAGTACAACAAATAATATAATTATCAACACAAATCTAATTTTATTATTTACAAACATAAAAAAAGCTCGTCTTCCCGGATATCCGGTTAATTTAGATCTGTCGAAATAAAATAATACATCAAACGCGCGTAAAATCTTTACATATTTAAGAAAATTATTCCATTTTAATGTATTTTAACTGTTTTTTTAAAAGAAAATTCTATTCTAATTTCGGTCGAAAATTACGTTTAAAAAACAAAATAAAATTTCATGTATTTAATATATTTTTGCTATAAATACTCGTATCACTTTTTTTTTTCTTTTCTATAATTTCCGGATAATCCGGACGATAACCGAATAAACGAGTTTTAACGGTCTGCCTGAATAAACGTACTGTACTGTACAACACGAGCTGCCAAATTAATTAAATTAAGGAACGAAAATAAATTTTAAATATTAAAAAATTAATATTCTGTTACTTTAACTTACATCTATATAAATAAATAATTTATATTATTAAATAGAATTATTTAAATACAATTTTTTTTCTAACGCAATCATTTACCCTTTTATATTATTATTATTATACAAAATTATTATTTTGTTTTCAATAATTTTAAAATATATTTCCTATTTTATAAATTGCCTCTTTAAAATGTCATTAGAATTATTTTTAAAAAAAGAAGAAAAAGTAATAAAGACGATGATAGAAAGTTTAACCTAAAGTAATTTACTTTTATTTTATAAATTTATCATTTAATAAAAACAATATCGATTTAATTGACTCTTTAAAGAACATGAATTCACTTTGTATAAATTTCACTTATAATTGTTTCAATTGATAAATTTTATTTTTATTACGGAGTTATCTGTTTCTTAAAGTGTAATTAAAAATGAATAAAACTTGTCGATGTTCTTTAGATGATACTGATCATTTTTAACACTTAATTATAACTTAAATGCACTTTATTAATTATAATTAGAACAATAAACGTCATTTTTCTAATTTTTATTTGTTAAGGTATTAAAATTAATAGCGAATTTTTGCTGAATTTTCTATTTTAAAAAGCTGTCAAAAAGTATATTTTGACCCACGAAATTAGAAAATGAACGAAAGAAAAAGCAACGACGATTGTAAATTGCTTCCTGCCTTCACCACGAAACCGGTTAAGAGCCTCACTCGACCCAAACCGTTTTACCCAATGACACACTCAACCCCATCCGACGTAATCTCAAAACACACCGAGCCGAACAGACGACGTCACGGAAAAAAAATCGACCAATAGCGCGACGGCAACCGGAATGAAATTCCTGACCGTCAACGTCGAGCCGTTATTGTAGTTGCAGGTATGGCTTGGGACTGCGTCGATAGGGCCGTTACGTTCGTCTTTCGATGGCTGGGACGCTTCGTGGCCCGACACCCGGGTTACTTTATCGTGGTACCGGTTTTGGGATCCATCCTACTGGCTACGGGACTACAGAAAATGGTTTATCAAGACGATCCCGAATATCTGTTCAGCCCCATCGACGGTCAAGCCAGTAAGGACAAAGAACTCATCTTTAAGCTATTTCCAGAAGACGTTGCCGAAAATTTCGATTTGGAAAGGTTACCCAGACTGGGCCACTTCGGTAGGGTCATCATAATCGCCAAAGATGAAGGGACTATATTCAGAGAGGAGATATTCCAAGAGATTCTCAGACTGGACCAGATAATTAAAAACTTTACCGTAGACATCGAAGGGGTTGACATGGGTTATGCCGAACTGTGCGCTCATCACAAAGGTAAATGCTACAGCAACAGCATCTTGGATCTGGCCGACCGAGTTTCGGATATACGCGAAAAGAAATTCTTTATTAAGTACCCCCTGAGCGTGGACGAGGTTAGTTACCAGTATACTTTCTACGCTGCCTACCTGGGCGGCGTCCAAGTCGACGACTTGGGATTTGTGGACACGGCCAAAGCCATATCTCTGATGTACTTTCTGGACGACAGCACCAAGAAAAAAATTAACCAAGCGAATATTTGGGAGGACGAATTTTTGCAAGTGGTAGGCAACGAAGAATTCCAGACGATTTCTGTGGCTAGATTTACCTCCAGAGCTCTGGCTCAAGAGTTGGAGAAGAACACGGAGAGTGTTTTACCGTTTTTCAGCGTTACTATCCTGATTATGCTGATCTTCTCTATCGGCACTTGTATGATGACCGACTGGGTATACAGCAAGCCGTGGTTGGGAGTTTTGGGCTGCTTGTCCTCTGGTTTGTCTGTCGGAGCGGCATTCGGCTTGGTCGTTTACTGCGGTATGGAATTCATCGGAATCAACATGGCAGCGCCTTTTCTCATGCTGGGTGAGTACCGCTTTTGTTTCTAAACTGTGTTTACCAACGACACGAATAAGGTTAACGAACTGCGGACGCCCCGCCAGGTGTCTATGTCTAACGAGGGTAAGGTTGAGTAACTACTCTACGTATCAATGACTGCGATGCAACTCCAAGATCGATAACATATTCACGTCTTTTAAAACTTTCTTTTATTCAAATATTTATTTTTTAAATTTTATATATTTTACAACGGCGTTCAAATTAGTGTTTTTAAGAAGTATTCGATATCTTTAAGGGATCGAGGCTATCGAGTAACAGCGTTTTTCCTAAGAGTTTAAAATCTTGGTATTCTTAATTGTTGGTGGCTTTTTGAACGCACGTCTCTTGAGAGAACGTCAATTTTCTTGTGTGGATGTTGGGTTTAAACACTTATACGTAGCAGATATATATTGTAGAAGTCCTCTTCTTAAGATAAAAAGGATATTGTTTATATTTGTCTTAAACTTAAGAAACAGATTCAGATATATTTCATATAATTAAACTGTGTCCCAAAAGTAAGTTAGCCGTGTTTTGCTATCTTTCCAACCAGGCTACCTGTTCCAACCATGGTTATGAGAATATAAATAGTAAACTGAAATTAAAAAAATACGACATTATCTTTGGAATTAGAAGATTTCTTTTACTGAGTTGATGGAAACGTGATCGAAAAGCAGCAACAAGACGGCACTTTAGTCTTTCTAACGTTCAATTAAATTTTGGGCCACCTGGATACGAGAAGATAACTAAAATAACCTTAAATCGAGGTATCGTATTATATAAAGAATTGCAATTTTTGTACCGAGCATCCATATCTGTATACGGATGTTCGGTATAAACAAAGAGGGCATTTTTAAAGCATATCCATGATGGATTCGGCTAGGTGGTGAGGGATGGGGTCCGACATATCCGAAACAAAACCCCAATGAAAAATTCCACAGGTTTTCTGGGAACGACGGGCTGAGGCCTTAAGGCCGCCATCCATATCCTCCTGTATCTCACGGGGATAGGTGACACGTACGGTGTAATGATTACTTCAAACATAATTAAGCCGATTTCTAAATTCATGCGGGCAGAAAGTGAGATTTAATGTTAAGTACGTGTGGGTAAACAATTTTTGTCGCCAAGACGACAAAATGCAAAGGAGTAAAAACTATCAACGTTGTGTTTAACGTATTGATCGTCTTATAAAATAATTTAAAGCGTGCCTAAAGAAATTAAATTACGGAAGATTTAAATAAATCAAGTCTGTAACGTTATTAATAACGGAGAAGATGAACATTTTATAAATTTGTATTCTATAAAGGTCATATGTAAAAATTAAGATGATTTGTCGAGATCGATCAACGAATTATTATTCTACTCGTATATTCATATAGTAGAGGTAACCCGATAAACAGGTCACTTATGAAAATCCAATAATCAATTTATATCCACATTGTTATAACCCATACGTAAAACTAGGATAATAGACATTTATAAATAGATTTTTACCAATATTCTACCACTCGGTTCTGGTACTTTAACATTCATAAATACTTCATACAGTATATTACATTACATAAATCACACGGTGCTAGTTTGTCAAGGATGGACGAATCGGGGAGAAATATGTCAAAGGTAGAAAGAGGAAGAGAAAGTGTTTGACCTATTTCGTCATCATTCTAGTCACTTTAAAGGGGGAAAACTAGATATGAATGTTAGTGTTATTTTAGCGCAAATATTTACTCCCTATTATAACTTTGATGTGTTGCTTTATCATTAACAAACAAGCTTAACGTTGATGATTCTTTGTGTACTGTTTCGGTAATGTTTGTAGACACTTATTACACCCCTACGCGAAAAGTATTCTTGAAGGAACAATACATATCACATCCCGTATATCATATAGGTTCTCTACAATATTTACATTAAGCCGTATGTCATACAGAATAGTTGAGAAAACAGATTCCTTTGTGTGATTCGGTAATGTTTATATATCAATTCCTTTATGTTTCATAAATTCTGAATTCTATGAATATGTACCGTATCTTACTCTATATATTGCGTATAGACTAGTTGAAAAATGTATCTTATAATGAATTCGATTATATATGTTAAGCACGTTTTGTATTTGGGTTATCACGGATCTTTACATAAAACTATCAAAACAAATTTCAAAAAATGTGTTAAAAAAATTGTATTTATAATTCTAGAATTATTTAGATACAGAGTTGCAGTTTTAGAATTTCGAAACAGATAGAACTTATTAGGAACGATACACTTTCGTATTATATAGCTTCTATCTGGAGATTGCTTAACATCTGGTTGTTTTTGAAAATTTGGAAATCTTTCCAAATTTTTTATAATAACCGGTTGTCGAAGAATGCTGAAAATATATCACAGATGATCCAAAATGCAGAAAAATCCCCATTTTGAACGATCGATAACAGTTCGTGATCCCGATATCGGTCAAAATTCGAATTTTTCATTTTTTTATTTTATGATGCAAAGAATATATTATAATATTAAATAAGTAAATATCACTACAAAATAACTGAAATTTATCCGAACGTATATCATTAAACTTGAATGGCTAGTGCTGTATACTGTGTGTATATATCCTATATACACACAGTATACTACTGTATAAGGATTTCACTACATGTTTTGACATACTATATGTAAATATACTTTTATACTCGTATTGAAATTTATACTTTATAGAGATGGTATTGTAATGTACCACATATACTTATCATACGTCGTTTTTACAGTATATTCAGATTTCTGATATAAAACTATAATCGTATATATGGATAATACAGCATGTCTCTACTTAAAATATCAAGACATGCAGGATACATCCGTATACTCGTATTAAATATGATGTACTGTACATAACTTCTCGATCTTTCAACGAATTATATCATATGTATCCATTTATAAATAATATAATTCTTACATATGAAATATCAAAGTTGTATAGGAATATAATTTCTATATCTCATATGTGGAAAAGCATTTTTTATTTACATACCAATAAATTGATTTTAATAATAGGTCATTAATGTAAAATATCGTATAGTTTTCTATATCCTATCCTAATTTAATCTATATCCTTACTATTTTATATAGTGATAATACAGTAGAACGCGTAAAGAAAGCGTGGAATTATACGGAATAGTTGTATATAAAATATCTTAATAGTACAAAGACGACGACGTCACATACAACGAATTGTATCATATAAAGTATATAGGGAAGACGAATGTTCCATAAGGAATAAAACGCGCTCTTCTGTAACATGTAATCAATCAAAAGATATTTTAAAAAATGCATAAAAATATTAATTATAATTATTGAAAAAAGTTTGTAATGCTGAACGGCGACAGTTCAGCATTTCCCCCCCATCAAGGAAGTGACGGCACGCGACACAAAGTAATCGAACATTAAGGAAAATGTTCGAATTCATCTTGATAACAGGTCGGAACTTTTTTATTTCGTTAAAAAAAAAAAACAAAAATTTCCACTGACTTTATTGAATTTTCATAACGCGGAAGAGAAATCGTCAAAAAAAAAAGAGGCAAAATAATCGGTGGCGCGATTATTCGGCACGAAAATTTCGATAAGAGAAGAAGAAGCAACTTCATTCAGTTTGTGCAGCCAATCTCCGAGACATTTTAATGCACGGACGACGGCGTCACCGACCCACAATACTTTCATTCTCCTACAATAGAGTTGTTTTAGTAAGACGATATTGGCCGGATACGTACGCATTAAATGCCAATTAAGACCATTCTCCGGTGCAAATTTGCATACATTTTGCACTCGGCAGACATTTGTCAAATAAAGGGAGAAAATCGTGGAAAAAAACGTGGCCCGACGGACAGATTTAGCCAGGTAACGAAGATACGCGGCGCAGAATAGAGACGAAGGAAAGAAAGCATTTGGAGAAATGGAGGCAAACTATGGTCGCCTTTCTTCCAAAAATACTCTCAGAAACGTCGTCTATCGCATTTGTTGCCTTTTTTTGCTTTCGTTCTTACACTTAATTTGCACCCACAATAGAAATATTTTAAATTTTATTCGGTTCTTTTTATAAAATAATCAAAATTATAGTTTAGACTTTAATTTTAGACGCGCTTATATTACTTTTATAATAAGATATTACGGAGAAGAAACATCTAGTGTTCCTCTTTGTATAACATTAATCTCTACAAGTGATTTATTTACGAAGAATATCTACGTATGCGTGGAACACAATCTCAAACCAGTTTTATAATTTTACCCATTATTTGATTTATTTTAACACTTCCCAATTAAAAAGTTATATACTAATCTTCATCGCGATACGTGATCTTAAATTCCGTTCTTCTCGGCTATAGAAATATATCGATAGTTAAATACTCTGTTGAACTTTTTCGTATAAACGTAAAAAATCGATATACTGTATTCGCTTTAAGTGCAATCCGTAATTAAAATGACATTTAAACTGCGCTATTTTCTTCCTCTGCATGTAATGCGCACCGCAATTTATGTTAAATTTATCATTAGAAATATTAAATATAACATCCGAAAGGAAATAAATGCACTTTTATAATTACTTTTAATAATTTGCATAATTCCCATTAAAGAGAGTTTTAGAATATTTAATAACTTTCGATGCATTTGCTTAAATGAGCATCGATCCAGAGTCGATCATCAATCGGTTCAATCGGTAGAATTCCGTATACAAAATTCGACATCGACCCACGTGCCGACGTGCGTGACATTCGTGTTTTTCTTTCCATAGAAACGTTAAATCATTGAAAATGCCATAAATAAATAGCATTTATATACGTTAGAGTAAAATGTCGGAATAATATATCAATTATTAAACTTTTAAAACAAAAGTACGCACTCGGCATCAATATTTTCGCATAAATTTCTATAATAAATGTCCGGGAACGTTTTCTTAATTGTATATTTTACAATTAAGGACGGAAAAGTTCTATAGAAATTTAACAAAACTGTGAGTATTGTTTAATAGAAACATTGTCAAAAAATGCTAATTGCAAAATAATTGCATACGCTTCTCGTGCAGGATGCGGCATAAAGCAGTTAAGTGCATTTTGTGCGTAAATATAACATCGTTATATTTAAGCTAAATATGCGCCTATAGGTGAAAAGATGCGTACTTCCATTCCCAAAGTAAATCCGGTAAATGCATACATTTGTCTCATATATCCGGATATAATTATATTCTTATTTTAAAGATGTATATCTTAGTAAAGGCAGATAAATTAAAATATACTTTTTTAACAAAGGATATAGCTTCAATATTAAAAACAAAAATTATAATTTCTAACACATATAGGCTATATATATAGAACGCTATGTTATATTCATTACATTTAAATTAATGTTATTGAATGTATAATAGATGCAAATTTATTTTAAAAATAGTTTAACATCCATTAACGGAATTTCAATAGAATTAAAATTAATTATTAATAAATTCTGGCGACAAAAAAAGTCGACGAAAGTGCTACGACCTTTTAATGTTTTCGTTTTTTCTTCGTTTTAGCAAGAAAAATGTTTAATTCCTTCTGTTATTATTATTCCACTCGTAATAATTTCATTTAAATCAATAAACTAATTTTTATTGAAATTAAATTAGCCCCAATACTAAGCAAGTTAAACGACATTAATTCTAATTGCATCGACCGAAGAGTAATTAAAACCAGTCTTAATGGAGTTTTTACCATTTAAAATTATTTCTGGTATAGTTAAATTACAGCAGATCATCGGATTTACAAAATAAGAAAAAAAAATATGTTAATTGGGTTGCAATTTGAAAAAAATGTAGACCTTGCCAGTATCGTCCGTCCGTCTATCTTCCTTAATCTCGAGAAGGGAGTTAGATGAAATCCTAGACCAGATATGGAAAGCTTAGGACAGGAAGTCCAGATTAACTTTATATTAACTTCCGGTCTGGACCGGAAGTCACGTTACTTCCATTGGAAAGTTTCCTCCGAACGGAGTTAGATAGATAATCGGCACGATTCTATTGTTAAAGGAAAAGTATGACGTACGGGGGGCAAGTCACTACTAATTTGAGGTGGAGAGAATATATTTTAAGTTAAATAAAGTAAAAATACAATTTAAAATTACAGCCCAGCATTGCGTAAGAAAATGGGCCAATTATATTTATGTAAGGAAAATTATCTGGATGGTATTTGTTCTTTTTTGATTAATAAATTCCGAGATTATTAATCTACAGTAATAAAATGCAATAAAACGTATAAAAAGTGCGGTTAACGAGTATTAAAACCCGGGATAATTTGACGCGTTTTGACCCCGGTAACTATCGATTATTTCATTTAATCTACGCTTTGAAACGTTAAATTTAGCGCAGTGGTCCGTCCAGAGTGGAGTTTAATATTTAAAAATTTTATAGAAAGGTTCTTTAAATTGGAATAAAAACGAGTTCGGCCAGCAAATATCATTTTACGTACGCTTAATTAATTAATTTTGAAGGTAAAAAGTGCGGACAACTCGAACTCAATGCTCAAATATTTATCCGACAGGTATATTTTTATATTCCCGTGCGGCAATAATACCCTAAATTAAATCTAGGATGATATTGTCCGATTCGATCTATGGCCGAAGAGAAAGTATTATTAATAGTCCTTCGAATGGGGCCGTCCGCAATATATAAATGGCTAAATCGGGTTAATGGCTAAAAATAATATCGTTGCCACGCTCCGCATTACTTTATCTTCCTTTCTTTCATGTAATTATTCTTTCACATCTTTCGTGATTGCTCAATTTATTTTTTTCATAACGATTTTTGTATCCTAGATTTTCCAAGTTTCGACCGATGCCGGTAATGTTTAATTAATTATTGCGTAAATTACAATTAAATTATTAAGAAAACTTAAATTAAACATGGCAATAGTTTCTTTCGGGTGCGAACTTATTTTAAATCGGCTGAAATTGCGAATAGAATAGTTAAATCGAAGACATTTTGTCATCAAAATTTGAATTTTCAGTCGACTCGTAATTTTATTTTTCTTTTAATTTTGAAATATTTAAATATTTTAATATTTTTTAATGACCGACTTTTATAAAAATATCAAGCATCCTTGAAGTAGAGCATCATTTTAAATTTAAATTTTGAAACTGTGCATATATCATTGACAAATTGTTACTACGCTTATAATCTTAATTCTATAATTAATTTAAAATATTGAACTAACCGAATATTCTAGACGAATTAAATTACAAAATACCCTACCGATAAGAGAATACTTACAGATTTAATTAATTTAAAAAAAAGAATATAACATTATTTGACCCAATTTCCAAATATTTATCCGAATATTTTTTAAATTATTCGTGTGATTGGAGAGTCGTTGATTACAATCTTAATTCTATAATTGATTTATTTAAATTTACACATAATAAACTAATTTCCGATAAGAGAATTATTACGAGTTTTAGTTTATTTAACTAAATAATAAAATATGTTTGACCCAAATTTCCAAATAGTTTTCCTGAATATTTAAATGATAATTGGCATGAATGTCCTCTTCGAAATTTAGGCAATCGTGCAGAACGAAGCACGCGTGAATGCAAAAATTAAAGAAAAAGCCACGTGACAAACAGCTTATCAACCCGGTAGTCTATAGACTACTGGTATTAATTGATTTTAGTCACTTTACAGAAGAAGATTGCGTGACCGCACTTTCTTCCAAATATATTTTTATCTTTATTGATGCGATTTTTTTTTTGTGACTATAAATCTCTCCGAATGTACTCGGATATTATTATTATTTAATAAACAGTATAAATATATTTATAAAATATTAAATCGTTTAAAAATATGAGCGCTCTTTAAATGTATTTTTTTTCCCCTTTTTTTTAAATTTTAACGGTTCCATGGCTACGTTTCGACGTAACAGCGACGAAGAATTATGTAAAATTTCATTAAAATTCATTAATTAATCGGAAAAATGTTCTGTTTGGATTAGTATAAACGATGGGTTAGGACGTTGTACCAGGACCTGTTGAGGCTCAAAATGGGAGATTGCCGAAGGTTGTTTGGCTGCACGCAATAACAACATACAGATTTTCTAATTCCATCACGTAACAATACTTTCCTACAGACGATTTATCTAATTATTCTAGACAATAAAAAAAAAAGAGTAGAGTTTATAAAACCAAGCAAATTCCAAGATTTTTGAATTTTAAAAAGTCAGGGAGGGTTTAAGCACATTTTCATCGACGGTATAAGCTGCACGAATGCCGCTATCGACGAAATTTTAAATTCGAATTTTTAAACTCGAAGCACATCTGATAAATTCGAGCGTATTCTAGAATAATTTGTCACGCGTAGAGAATAAATTTGTATACATTTCTTCATTTAAATTGTCGCAGATAACGAGCAACTAGACACTAAAATCCAATCGAGATTAATAAAGTTTTGAAATCCTTCGCGTTTGTGGAAAAATCGCACCATTTTAGATCCTATTTCTCGAATTTGATCATCTAAAACCTTTTTAAATTAATATGAAGCATAATTTCCAATTATTTTTTTTAAATAATCGATTTGGCTTTCAAAATGGACAACTGATTATTTTCTGCATAATTCCCATCCGAATTGCAATAAAAAAGGAACTCCGATTGGTCGATCGATACGGGAACCGCAACTATCGGCCACTATAATCATTTTAAATAAAGTGTTTAAGCATACTTTTAATTCTTTTTAAACTTTAAAAATTAATTTTTTTCCGTATATTAATAATAATTTAAAATTTTTAACCCGGGTTTTGATTCGTATCGATTAAAACGCAACTCAATCCGTTGTTGGTTTAATTTTAAAATTGTAGCTTATAGGCCGATCATTCGATTATTGTTGCAACGTCTATTACATGTTGCTAATAGTTATTTTTAAATTAAAAATAGTCTACACGTAACTTTTTACGAGTAATAAGGTATAAAACCATTTATTTTTATTTTTTAGGCATCGGTATGGACGATACTTTTGTGATGTTAGCAGCGTGGAGAAGAACGAACGTGAAGAAGAGCGTGGAAGAAAGATTGGGAGAGACGTTCGCAGAAGCGGGCGTATCCATAACCATCACTTCGATAACGAATTTCTTATCGTTTTGCATCGGTATTGCCACTCCCTTTCCGTCCGTACGCATCTTCTGCACCTACACTGCCATGGCCACCTTCTTCACCTATCTCTATCACGTGACATTTTTCGGAGGTTGCATGGCCATCAGTGGATTTGCAGAAAAAAGGAATTTACACGCCATGGCCTGCATACCCATTCTTCCCTTATCGCAAGCCAGTAAGTACTCGATATATTTAATATAATGATAATTCGATTTTCCGGTTAGATCTGTAATTTATATAAACTCTTCGTAATGTCGGGTTGCAACTTTACGGTTAACTGTTTATAGAACAGAATTAGAAAAATTGTTTTTATTTATTTAAAAAAAAAGCGTTCAAACTCCATATCCAATTAATTAATTATTTGTATTTTTCCGAGTTAAGAGTTTTATCATTGCCGGATAACCGAAACAAAAATTGTATCTATCTTAACTTAAAATCGCACAAAATAATTGAAATGACCAAATGGATTATCCGAGTTGATGTGGAAAATTGATTTTGAAAAGAATTTTCTTACAAACAAAAAGTCTTGACACAATTCTTTTTATTTTTACAAAGAATCGATACGTCATAATTGTGAAATTATACTAAAATTATCGTTTATCCGGTTGAAAAAGTAGGCGATTTCCGCAAAAACTAGATATAATTTGAAGGACGGATGAAAGTTAGTAATTTTCCTCGCCACGTAAGGTGTAAATATAAATTCTAATCCGATTAACCGTGCGTAGCCGAAAACTGCAGACCCCCCTTGTTTTCATAAGAAACAAATTATTTTATAAAACAGCTTTGAGATACGAAATCAATTGACTCATTAATAAGAGATTATCTGTTATTTATTCAATTATCCGTTTCATAATCCTACGTTTGTCAATCCAATTAACCGTTAAAAATAGCACAAAATATAATAAAATTAGTTACTTAACAGGAAAAAACAAAAAAAAAGAGAGAACGTAAACGATCTCGATTGAAAATTTTTCTGAGAAAAATGAAAATCATTAATTTTGTGCAACGTCACGCAAATGATGCCATAGAATGGTGACGCATTGTATACTCTCCCTTATCTGCCCTACATTTCTATTTATACATAAATGTATTTTTTATTTTAATTCCAAATTTAAACCCAGAATTGGTGGTTTTCTTACTAAAAATTGTGATGTTCTCTCCTACACGTTATCGTACACGTGACTGATGTGTGTCAATGGGTCATCATGCAGGAATTCTACGATGCAACTTGTTTTCCCCTAACTGTTAATCTATGAAGAACTGAAATTGGGTCAACTGTTTTCGAGGAAATTACGATAGGAAGTTTAATTGTTTTTTTTTTCTTTTTAATTTTTAGGTTTGGTTAATAATTACAAGTAACGGTGGCTTTAGAACGTTCACCTTTTCGTCGTCACTCGCTATCGTTTATAGAAACCGTTCGCTAGTTTAACGGAAAGTGGCCTTAACCTGGCGAATTTAAGCGTTTAAAAACCGTTTCGAAACGAATATAAAAACGTGAATCACGTCACTTTTCGTTTCTGAGTCCAGGTGATCCGAAACATCTGGGGAAAACCGACGAAAGTCACGTGATTATCGAAAATTTCGTCACCACTGTCACGCGCGATTACTTCTGAAACGTGTTCAATAAATAAAAATTTTCAAAGCTCGAGATTGTGACGTTGAGAAAAATTTCAAGCATTTATTAGTAAATTTGATTTAAAAAAAATAATCAATTTTTCAAGTGATAGTTATTTCAAATTTCGAATTCAAAATTTCAGGCACGTGATTACTCAATTTCCTAATACGTAACTATAAACGAATCTGATAATTGGTTGACACACTTCCGGATTATTTGTTTCTTCTTTCTCTTAAAAATTATTTAATTAAATACTTCATTTTATTATTTTTTTTATTCAATCAATTATAATCTTCTTACGATTCAATAATTTATAAATTCCCTAACAACCGACAACAATTAAATCTGGCAATATTTTCAAACCAAATCCAAAGCAAATTAGGCCCTGTGTCAAGACCTTAATGCGGGATAGTTTTTTTTTTTCCAAGAAAAATTGTAAAATATTTTACAAGTCAAATGTTAAATATATTTGTATAATTGCATTATCTCACCTTTTATATTTTATTGCAGAAGACAGAAACTATTTCTTCCGTATCTTCTGCACGGGTGGAGTGAATCCCGACGATCCCGACAATCCAGACGACAATAAGGAACACTTGTTGATGAGATTCTTCAGAGACACCGTAGGAAAAACTTTGAGCCTGATACCCGTCAAGATCCTAGTTATTATTCTGTTCGTAGGATACGTGGCAGTCGGAATATGGGGGTGCAGCCAACTGAAAGAGGGTCTGGAACGTTCTAAGTTGTCTAGAACCGATTCCTACTCTGTAACTTACTATAAGTACGAAGACACGTACTTTAGAGAGTATCCTTATAGAGTACAGGTGATCATCAACACACCACTGGATTATTCCGATCCTAAGGTGCAGCAACAAATCGAAGATCTGATGAAAAGATTCGAAGCTAGCGAATATATGGCTGATTCATCACTAACAGAATCGTGGCTAAGGGCTTACTTACGTTTCTTGAAGGATCCAAGAACATCTTTCTTCTTGGAAAGCTACAACATGAGCAGTAAGAGTGATTTCATTACAGGATTAAGACGAGTGTTCCTGAAATTTCGTTCTGCAGAGCATTTCAAGGACGATATTGTCTTCAATGAGAATTTTACAGAAATCGTGGCTTGTCGGTTCATAGCTCAAACTAAAGATATTGCCGATGCTAATGAAGAAAAGTACATGGTTATCGAATTGAGAGACATTGCTGATAGCGTTCCTTTTAAAGTTTCTGTCTTTCATCATCTCTTCCCGTTCTTCGATCAATTCATATTAGTAAGGAGCGTTTCTATACAGTCCATCAGCATCGCCGCAATCCTCATGATGATAATCTCCCTTCTTTTCATACCGAGCCCTATGTGCGCCTTCTGGGTGGCTTTCTCTATCGTCTCGATAGAAATAGGAGTCATNTATATCAGAAAGGAGGAAGAAAAGTCGGGGAAGCCGTTCGTTCGTTTTCTCTTCAGTCGACGACGGAAGAATTTTATTTTCGGAGGAGACCCCGGAGAAATCGGCCGTCCGTGCCCACACGGATTCTCTCCGTTTTTACTTCCTTACTGGTAGGCTACGTTCCGAAAATTCCCTAAAGACAGCGACGGGAAAATAGTACCCGGCCGGGGGAAGTCTTGCTTTCGTCGGTTATCTCCCCTTTCTTAATATGAAATTGTATTTTTACCCACCGCTCTCTTCGTTAAGACGTAGACCGTGTCACGGGGTCCCTGACCTTCGGCCCGACGGGAAACCCTGCTTGCTTTGGCGCCGGACGAAGTAAAGGCTTAAAGGGGACGGCGGTGGCCCGAGCATCGGACCACCGCTGTCCCCTCCTGGAATTTCGGCGCCACAACTTAACGTCGGCCTCGGCCCCCGGCGGGATCCCGTCTCGTTTGGGGTGGGAGCGAAATCTGTCATTTTTAAATCCTCCGCCCGGGTTAACGAACTTTCGGACGGTCCGCTAACGTCAGGTTAAAATTAATGTCGGGAAAAGGAATAAAGATTAAATTCCTTTTCGACCGATCGAGGAAATGAAAGTGCGAGAATTACTAGGAAATAACGAGGTTAAAATTTCCGTAAGTATTCTAATTTTAGAAATGAAAATTAGAATTAAAATTTTTATTATCTAAATATAATTTGAGTATATTTAATTTTATGTGTGATAAATGAACTGGAGTTGTATTTGCTATGCTTTATGGTACGTACCTGTACAATCCGTGTGTACAGTACCTACGATCGACGTCGGGAAAAAGTTAGAAAAAAACAAAATTAAATTTTCTTTGAATTAAAAAAGAGAAAGAAACGAGAAATTTTGGCAGTTAAAAAGAAAAGAAGGCAAAGTTGTTAAAGATTTATTTAGAAATAGATATTGTAGCTGATGCAAGCAGGGTCACACCCTGTTCAATTTTCACGCATTCATTAGGTTTGATGTTGGTCAAAATTCTGAGACAAACTGAAGCGCAACAGGCGGGATTGACTTCTCTGTGACCCCATGTCCTGCAGGGAAGACAAATTGCAGGAGTTGAGGCGTCAGCGTCGAGAAAAGGATTCGGAAGAAGGAGAGGAACGAGAGCCCACCGACGAAACTTCCACTTTCATCGAAGTGTCGTCGAACGACCTGTCGAAAACACCCGAGAAAGGAATACTGAAACACCAGGAGAAAGACAAGTGGAGCGACGAAGCTTCTCAGTCGGACAACCAAGAGGTAACGCAATTAGTTAATAATATCGACGGCGGCGACGACGGTCTGACCGAAGTGGAAAGGACACTAAAGACGTTGAACGGTTATCACGAGGAGATACTCGAGGCGTTGCAAACCGCCTCCTCCTATCGTTCGGGGGAGAGCGGATCGGCCACGCCTCAGGACGAAGGCAGGGACGAGTCTCCACCACCCAACGGCGTCCAAGACGAAGACGGCGTCCAGTCCGGCGGACCCATTCGAATTCGCAACCTGGAGGATCTCCTGTGTCAACTGGAGCAGCACCCCGACCAGCAGCAGCAACAACAACAACAACAGCAGCGCCACGTCTCGCCCACCCTGTCCGAAGAGATTCGTCTGAGCGTGCCCGAAGCCGACCGCCAGTACCTGCTGGAGAGGAAGGACATTTCGGACATGGCCAAGCACCACCTGGAAACGGGTCTGGGTTACTTGCTCGGACACATCCAGCCTCCCTCCGCTAACACCAAATCGCCGCGTTACTCCAGACACGTGACGCCGGAAGAGGAGGAAGCGGACGACAGCGCCGACGACGACGACGAAGGGAGCACCTTTTCGTCGCATCACCTGGTGAGGAGTGCCAGCGAGGAGGCTCTGCCGGTGACGGGCAAGCCGGGCCAGCGCCAGCCGCCGGAGGCCGTCAAGCGCGACGGACGCGACTATTTTCCCAGCCCCCCTTCGGAAGACTCGTACGCCAATTCGTCGGAAGACAACGCTTTTATTCCTCCGCCTTCTTCTTCCGCTCCGAGGCCCGAACGAACACAGAAGTCTCAGCCGACCACACCGACTCCTGCACAGAGCACGGCTCATCCGGCGGGGGTCAAACGGAAAGCCAAGAAGAAGTTCCCCGAGTATAAAGTGTAATCGAACTCTTTTTAGATAATTAGCCTAGGACAAAGCAGAAACTCTTTGGTATTTCACTAATCTTCTCTTTTTTCTTAGTCGTCCCCTTAGCCACTTTCTACACCCGTCTGGCCAGAAACTAGTGTCCCGTTCCCGTCGTCTTCACTCTCATCACTGGCCCGGTTTCTTCTCTCGATCGCTCATCGTCATCTAAAAACAACCGTCGCGTCCGACAAAATGTCTACCCCACCGGCCGCCTGCCTAATTTTTCCTCCTTTCTCGCCTGCTTTCTCCTTTAAAAACTCGCGCGTGACGTTTCACCGCACCGTTTTTGTATTTACTCGGACGCGGCCTCCTCTTAATACGGAAATGGCCGAGTGAAGCTTACGCAAAAGTACACTCCACTTCTTTCTTTGAAAATTTAGCTGTTAAATATGCAAGTTTTCTTGCGCCTTTCCCGTTGGGAATGCCCAAACCAAAATTCGATTTTTCCTAAACGTTTTCTAATTTTTATTATGTAAAAAAAGGCAGAGAAAAAAGTCTGGGTTCGGAGTGGAATTTTCTAAAACTTCTATTCGTTTACCGAAAAAAATAAAGCGTTACACACCTGAAGAACAGCTCAAAAATTAGCCGACGTCTATTAAGTAAAAAAAATCCCAGATTCTACGGCTTAAAAAGGCAAACTTTTGAATTTAACAGGTAGAAAATCGGTTTCCGTTTTACCAAATTATCAAATTAGGGGTTGTCTTTTATTATTTTCCGTAAAATTTAGCATTTTAAGTGTAATTTTTACCTAAAATGTTGCGTGTAAATGCAATAAAAATAGGTGCGAGTGAACGGCCGAGTGCGAGAGATTAAGCAGTATTAGTGCGAGATGTCCGTTTAGACGGTGGATAAAAGGGTCCCGGTAGAATTTACCGTCTTCCACTGCCCGTTTACGTGCATACTTACCGACTACGGAAGTTCGTTCTCTACTCATTTTACGCGTAACTTAAGATCGACCCGTTTACATTCCGTTACCCGCTACCTTTTTAACACTTACTCCTTCGATTAAATCGCTGTGATAGTTCTAGATAAAATATTTTAAAAGAAGTGTAAATAGGTGAACGTGTAAATATACGAACAAGTCGAACCTTCCACGCTCGGTGTCCAGAAGATCCCGGTTTGGTCGACATAGAAGAAAATACCGGCGGAACGGAAGTATTTGTAGCTTACACATGTAATAAAAGGGTATCAATCGATATTTTATTCTCGCCGGCCAAGGGGTAGACGGAAAATTCCAAAGAACTTCCTCCGGTTAAACCTACCGAATTTTGTTGGTAAATCGGCCAAGACGAATTTAAAATACGCCCGTAGACCCGCCGATTTAGTCTTTTTAAGTTTTCCTCACTCCAGAAAGAAGGAAACATCCTTTCTCGTATTACATCGCGCCATTATATTAATACTGGATCGGACCGGAATTTAGTGTCCGAAATGCCGAAAATCCAGAAAACCGTACGGTTGCGGCCGTTTAAAAAAGAAGCGAAAAAATCCTCCCAGGGCCCGTATACCCGAATCCCAAAACCACTACAGTGTTTGTTGTTAGTGTTACAACGTTTAAACTACGCCTTCCGGTTCCGGAACAGATCAAAGCTAGAAAAGACGGCCGTCGGAAGAGTTACGTATAAAACGAAGGACGATATATCGATTGATACCCATGGAAGCGTGGGAGACGGACAGAAAAAAGCCGCGGGTTCGACTCCTATAAATGTCAATTATGTCGTGTTACGAGGAAAATATAGAGAAGTCTATATACAGTATATATACATATATATATACATATATATATGCAAGAATACCAAGCTGTTCCATTTGATAATTGTTATCATATCGTTTTGTTTCATTTAGAAGGAAGAGAAACGTGTAGAACCAATCTCTTTTTGTACTTTTATTAGATGATCTAACATCAAAAAAAAAAACTTTTCTCACCTCCTCCAATCGACATAATATAAACATATATAATATACCTATATACAGTATTTCCAAAGTTCTGAATTTTCATAAAAATTAGTCATTGTAGATAATTAAACCACGACGAGAAAAAAAATCATGTTAAAAAGTCTTGGCTTTGAATAAAGTTCAATTTATGATGTTCACATAATTCTTTTGCTGTGTTTCTTGTCGCGCTTCTGTCTGGCTCACTGTACTCCGTTCTTTAACCACATTTCTCCCATACGCTTTTTCCGTAAACCATTTCGTTTCTTCTATCGTCCGCCCTTTTCGGAGGCGGGTGCAAAAGAAAAGCGCGGACACACATTTTTTCGGAATTTACGCGCGTAACGACCAATTATTCGCGCCGATTTTTCACCTTTTCCAAAAGGCGCCGACAGCTGTTCTTTCAGCTTTTCTTACTGGCGCGCCACGTCGGTACGTTGTTTGTCGGACCTCTTTTACGCTGGCGCAACGATTTCGAACCCAATTGAAACTGTGTTTCGTTCTCGAGTGTGTGTTTAAAAATTCTCCTACTATCTTAAATAAAACTTTGTCGCATAGTCACATTTGTTCTACCGTTCGGTTTCTATTATCCGATCGTAAATAACGATACTCACCAGCCTGTTATTTAAAATTATTATCGTACGTCTTTGTTTCAAAAGACCCTATAGAAATTCAAGAAGATTAGCTAATATTTATACAAATCAAATAGACTATAGTCTTGTTTTCTTTTAATGATCTGAAACCGTGCTTTAAACTTTGTCGCTGCTTCGAACACAATAAAGTGCAATAAATGAAGACACTTGGCGGCATCTTTTATTTAGTTATTTAGACAACTAAATAAAAGATGAAAAAACCGCCAAGTATCTTAATTTATTGCACTTTATTGTGTTCGAAGCAGCGACAAAGTTTAAAGCACGGTTTCAGATCATTAAAAGAAAACAAGACTATAGTCTATTTGATTTGTATAAATATTAGCTAATCTTCTTGAATTTCTATAGGGTCTTTTGAAACAAAGACGTACGATAATAATTTTAAATAACAGGCTGGTGAGTATCGTTATTTACGATCGGATAATAGAAACCGAACGGTAGAACAAATGTGACTATGCGACAAAGTTTTATTTAAGATAGTAGGAGAATTTTTAAACACACACTCGAGAACGAAACACAGTTTCAATTGGGTTCGAAATCGTTGCGCCAGCGTAAAAGAGGTCCGACAAACAACGTACCGACGTGGCGCGCCAGTAAGAAAAGCTGAAAGAACAGCTGTCGGCGCCTTTTGGAAAAGGTGAAAAATCGGCGCGAATAATTGGTCGTTACGCGCGTAAATTCCGAAAAAATGTGTGTCGGCGCTTTTCTTTTGCACCCGCCTCCGAAAAGGGCGGACGATAGAAGAAACGAAATGGTTTACGGAAAAAGCGTATGGGAGAAATGTGGTTAAAGAACGGAGTACAGTGAGCCAGACAGAAGCGCGACAAGAAACACAGCAAAAGAATTATGTGAACATCATAAATTGAACTTTATTCAAAGCCAAGACTTTTTAACATGATTTTTTTTCTCGTCGTGGTTTAATTATCTACAATGACTAATTTTTATGAAAATTCAGAACTTTGGAAATACTGTATATAGGTATATTATATATGTTTATATTATGTCGATTGGAGGAGGTGAGAAAAGTTTTTTTTTTTGATGTTAGATCATCTAATAAAAGTACAAAAAGAGATTGGTTCTACACGTTTCTCTTCCTTCTAAATGAAACAAAACGATATGATAACAATTATCAAATGGAACAGCTTGGTATTCTTGCATATATATATGTATATATATATGTATATATACTGTATATAGACTTCTCTATATTTTCCTCGTAACACGACATAATTGACATTTATAGGAGTCGAACCCGCGGCTTTTTTCTGTCCGTCTCCCACGCTTCCATGGGTATCAATCGATATATCGTCCTTCGTTTTATACGTAACTCTTCCGACGGCCGTCTTTTCTAGCTTTGATCTGTTCCGGAACCGGAAGGCGTAGTTTAAACGTTGTAACACTAACAACAAACACTGTAGTGGTTTTGGGATTCGGGTATACGGGCCCTGGGAGGATTTTTTCGCTTCTTTTTTAAACGGCCGCAACCGTACGGTTTTCTGGATTTTCGGCATTTCGGACACTAAATTCCGGTCCGATCCAGTATTAATATAATGGCGCGATGTAATACGAGAAAGGATGTTTCCTTCTTTCTGGAGTGAGGAAAACTTAAAAAGACTAAATCGGCGGGTCTACGGGCGTATTTTAAATTCGTCTTGGCCGATTTACCAACAAAATTCGGTAGGTTTAACCGGAGGAAGTTCTTTGGAATTTTCCGTCTACCCCTTGGCCGGCGAGAATAAAATATCGATTGATACCCTTTTATTACATGTGTAAGCTACAAATACTTCCGTTCCGCCGGTATTTTCTTCTATGTCGACCAAACCGGGATCTTCTGGACACCGAGCGTGGAAGGTTCGACTTGTTCGTATATTTACACGTTCACCTATTTACACTTCTTTTAAAATATTTTATCTAGAACTATCACAGCGATTTAATCGAAGGAGTAAGTGTTAAAAAGGTAGCGGGTAACGGAATGTAAACGGGTCGATCTTAAGTTACGCGTAAAATGAGTAGAGAACGAACTTCCGTAGTCGGTAAGTATTACCGATATTGGCATTTAGTCTTGAGGTGAAATATCACCGAGTGAAACTGTCAATACCTCATCGAATTAAGAAAATTGTATTTAACCGGTAAAATAATACCGATTAATGAAAGCTCATTCGTATAAACAATCGGCATTAGTCTTATCACCTGACGTTTTCATTACAGTCAGTTTTTTATAAGTAGAAAGTCCCCCGTCAAGTGTGACGGACTACGTTCTACGAGAAAGTATCAATCGGAGAATTGAAGAAATTCAAGTTGATTAGCTAATATTTATTTATACAAATCAAATTGACTATAGTCTGTCGCTGCTTCGAACACAATAAAGTGCAATAAATGAAGACACTTGGCGGCATCTTTTATTTAGTTATTTAGACAACTAAATAAAAGATGAAAAAACCGCCAAGTATCTTAATTTATTGCACTTTATTGTGTTCGAAGCAGCGACAAAGTTTAAAGCACGGTTTCAGATCATTAAAAGAAAACAAGACTATAGTCTATTTGATTTGTATAAATATTAGCTAATCTTCTTGAATTTCTATAGGGTCTTTTGAAACAAAGACGTACGATAATAATTTTAAATAACAGGCTGGTGAGTATCGTTATTTACGATCGGATAATAGAAACCGAACGGTAGAACAAATGTGACTATGCGACAAAGTTTTATTTAAGATAGTAGGAGAATTTTTAAACACACACTCGAGAACGAAACACAGTTTCAATTGGGTTCGAAATCGTTGCGCCAGCGTAAAAGAGGTCCGACAAACAACGTACCGACGTGGCGCGCCAGTAAGAAAAGCTGAAAGAACAGCCGNTTTTTCATTTTTTTATTTTATGATGCAAAGAATATATTATAATATTAAATAAGTAAATATCATTACAAAATAACTGAAATTTATCCGAACGTATATCATTAAACTTGAATGGCTAGTGCTGTATACTGTGTGTATATATCCTATATACACACAGTATACTACTGTATAAGGATTTCACTACATGTTTTGACATACTATATGTAAATATACTTTTATACTCGTATTGAAATTTATACTTTATAGAGATGGTATTGTAATGTACCACATATACTTATCATACGTCGTTTTTACAGTATATTCAGATTTCTGATATAAAACTATAATCGTATATATGGATAATACAGCATGTCTCTACTTAAAATATCAAGACATGCAGGATACATCCGTATACTCGTATTAAATATGATGTACTGTACATAACTTCTCGATCTTTCAACGAATTATATCATATGTATCCATTTATAAATAATATAATTCTTACATATGAAATATCAAAGTTGTATAGGAATATAATTTCTATATCTCATATGTGGAAAAGCATTTTTTATTTACATACCAATAAATTGATTTTAATAATAGGTCATTAATGTAAAATATCGTATAGTTTTCTATATCCTATCCTAATTTAATCTATATCCTTACTATTTTATATAGTGATAATACAGTAGAACGCGTAAAGAAAGCGTGGAATTATACGGAATAGTTGTATATAAAATATCTTAATAGTACAAAGACGACGACGTCACATACAACGAATTGTATCATATAAAGTATATAGGGAAGACGAATGTTCCATAAGGAATAAAACGCGCTCTTCTGTAACATGTAATCAATCAAAAGATATTTTAAAAAATGCATAAAAATATTAATTATAATTATTGAAAAAAGTTTGTAATGCTGAACGGCGACAGTTCAGCATTTCCCCCCCATCAAGGAAGTGACGGCACGCGACACAAAGTAATCGAACATTAAGGAAAATGTTCGAATTCATCTTGATAACAGGTCGGAACTTTTTTATTTCGTTAAAAAAAAAAAAACAAAAATTTCCACTGACTTTATTGAATTTTCATAACGCGGAAGAGAAATCGTCAAAAAAAAAGAGGCAAAATAATCGGTGGCGCGATTATTCGGCACGAAAATTTCGATAAGAGAAGAAGAAGCAACTTCATTCAGTTTGTGCAGCCAATCTCCGAGACATTTTAATGCACGGACGACGGCGTCACCGACCCACAATACTTTCATTCTCCTACAATAGAGTTGTTTTAGTAAGACGATATTGGCCGGATACGTACGCATTAAATGCCAATTAAGACCATTCTCCGGTGCAAATTTGCATACATTTTGCACTCGGCAGACATTTGTCAAATAAAGGGAGAAAATCGTGGAAAAAAACGTGGCCCGACGGACAGATTTAGCCAGGTAACGAAGATACGCGGCGCAGAATAGAGACGAAGGAAAGAAAGCATTTGGAGAAATGGAGGCAAACTATGGTCGCCTTTCTTCCAAAAATACTCTCAGAAACGTCGTCTATCGCATTTGTTGCCTTTTTTTGCTTTCGTTCTTACACTTAATTTGCACCCACAATAGAAATATTTTAAATTTTATTCGGTTCTTTTTATAAAATAATCAAAATTATAGTTTAGACTTTAAT